CGGGCTGGAGTGTTCAGTAGTAATGCACCCATAAGAATGAAACTAATTCATTTCTTTTGCCGATAACATAAACATTTTATTTCTCATTTTACGCACCAGATGGCAGTACCAGGATATTTTTAAGGTAATTTTATATAATTAGATTATTTTAAACTAGATATCTGCACTAATCAAATACGTGTTTTTGGCAAAATAGGCAGTTTTATGACCGTTTCCTTGAAAATTAACTGATAGTTACGGGGTTAAATTCAATCAACCGTCAAAAAAGATTAGAGGTTGAGAAAAATTCTAAAACCTATTTAGATGTGTCCTATTTAGATGATCTTTTTTTAGTTTTCACAAACCGATTTTACACATTTACTCTTATCAACAGTAAATATCATGCCTAGCATCCAGATTGTTCAAGACTCAGGTTGATTTGTTTAACAAAGAATCAGTATATTAGGCAAATTTAAAAGATTGTAATAGTGATGTTTTTTTAAATTGTAAATTCTTTCAAACTTATTCCAGGCAATTATGGTAGTGCATTTTAGCATATTACTATACATATAAAACTTATTAGATTTAAAATGTCTTTATAATGACAAAGAAACTATTTTAGATATTTACTCAGATTGTCAGTACATAAGCTTTCCGATCATCGATACTAGGGACCCTGGTCTATTTCTCTTTTTAAAGAAATAATAGTAATAATTGGACAACTTTAAAAAACTGCTATTTTGGTGTTTTTCATATTACTCTCACATTAATCCAGACAGTAGTGCATGTTTTTGCATGTTTTCAAACTGGAATAAGGAGAAACTTGTTTTCGTACAAAAGAAACTGGTTTTCTCTACTTCCCACCTTCATTGAAATCATTTTGCCAACGCGGTCAGGAAATAATACAATTTTGTCCCAAACGTGAAAAATAACCAATTTTAAAATTAATGTTAACGATATGTAAATGATTTTCAAAATAAATTAATTCTAACGTCTATTTTTATAATTTTTTGTAAAAATTCTTCTTTAACATAATAAAAAAAATTTAGGGATTTAAAATTGAGTTAATATTTAAAAATGCTCTTTATTTAGCAATTTCTGGTTTCAAAATTTCTATTAAATTTTGCCACATTTGCTTAGTTTAATACAGCAATGTTTTTAAAAATTAAACTTTTTGTATAATTTAATTTTGCTTTTTAATTAATCATAAGTGACAAAGATAGAAATTGAGAAAATTTAGGCATTGGTCAAAAAGACCAATAATTAAAACATATTTCTAGTCCTTACATATTTTTGTTAGCAAACCCCTATTAGTTCTTTTTCTTTCTTTAAATTTAGTCAAAGTTAGCTTAAATTAAAAATTACAATACCAAAATGTATTTTGCCTTGATTTTGATTTTAAAAAAATGCTATTTTGTGATAAAAACACAGATAAAAACATAAATTAAAAAATCAAAAGTAACAAAACAGCTTGAATTCCATTTACATCAATTGATGCTTTAGAGCAGTGTTCCCCAACCCCGGTCTGTGGATCAAATGGTACTGGGCCTCCCATTTCATTGAAACTGAATTTAAATTCCTAGCTTTATACCCCAATTTAAAAATATCTGTGTTCCATTAAAATTTTTTAATATTTGTAATGTATCATTGTCTCCGATTACCCCCAGATGGAACCATCTCATTGCGAAGAACCAAGCTCAGGGTTCTCATTGATTTAACATTCTAGTAAGTTTAAATGTTAAATCACTTAATATATATTTTTGGTGTAACTGTATTTTATTTTGAAGGCATGTTTAAATACAATCAGAGTCAAATTTAAGTGGTGTCAAACCAATAGACCACCATCAATTTCAAACCCTGAGTAAGATATATGATGGCGGGCTCTTAGGACCTGTGACTCTTTAGTAAATTTCTTTGTAATTTTGAATTTTTCCAGTTTTTCTGCAAAATGTTGCTTTTATTTTTAACTTAGATAATAAAACTTAAATAAACCTTTGTCTAAAAATTTTGCTTTTTTTTTTTTTTTTTTTTTTTTTTTTTTTTTTTACAAAATTATGTAATATTTAGCATGTTTTCTATCAGAAAGTTAATAATTGAATAAAACGAAATAATATTTGTGATGAAATATTGCTGTATGCTGTAAAAATATAATCTGGCATTCTGTTGAAACTTTCCTAGAAAGCTTAGTAAAGACAGAAAATTCAATTTCTATAAATTAAGTGGGAACTCTGTGAAACTAGATAAAATGTGAGCAGGTAGGTGGACCCTCTTTCAAAGGGCAAGTGATTGGGGGTGGGTGATTTTTTTTTTTCTCGACGTTCTTCAAAGAATATTCTGATGTTCTGGAGGAAATAGATTTTCGGGTTAAAAAATTTGGATAAAGAGGAAGAAAAACACATGGTTCATAATCCATTCAGTTAATTTGGCTCTGGATCGATAGCACTTTGCTATATATTTCAAAACATACATAATTCAAAGTTGTTGTCCAATTGAAATATGACAAAAATAACTCGCATTATTCTAAAGTTTTAATGCAGTTTTTTCTGGCTAAATGATATCTTCTTCAATCAGTATTTTTTGAAAAGTAGTTAAGTATTATACTTTTGTCTATGTTTAGATTTTTGATAAATATCTTTTTTGCATCATTTAGGTTTTAAAAAAAATCAGAATCATTCTGGTTTTAATCAGTTTAAACAATAATAAAAATCAATTTTAAAAAGAAAAATTCTAAACGCAAGCAAATTTGCAGTATTAAATTACTTAATCAATATTATTGATCAATATTTCTCCTAATTTTTAACCTTTTTTCATACTTCTGTTGAATGATGCTTGATACTCTATCATCAGAAGATTGCTAAGAACAAAAAAGAAAAGAAAACATGAAAAAAACAAATATCAAAAATTTTTCTCCAAGATGTCAAAGGCCTATTAAGGGTTAAGCCACTCTAGGATTTATTAAAAAAAAAAAAAAAAAAAAAAAAAAAAAAACAAAAAAAANAAAAAAAAAATTCCCCCCCCCCCTCCTTAAAAGTGAACCGAACATTAGAATAAGCCTTATGTTAGTATACCTTTTATTTTTGTTGTATATGAGTACTAATGCAAATGCTATGTATGTTTCATATGTCTTGTTATATGAGTACTTTAAGTTGAAGATGGCAAATGAAGAGGACTCTTAAAGGGTTATCAACCATTCTAGGATTTATAACCTTTCCTTTTCCTTAAAGGGTGCTTTGATACCTCAACCTAACATTAGAGATAACCTTACGCTATTACACTTAAAAAAATTCTATGTGAACTAATGTAAGACTATTTTTTATTTGATTTATATATTTATGTTTTATTTATTGTTTACTTTAGGATGCTAACTTACTTAGTTTAAAAGAAGTTGTGGATGTTTTATGTGAAGAGGTGTTACATTCACGAGAATTAGTTGCAAATTCTGATCAAGAAATAAGCTCTCTTCAGAAGAAATGTGCTGAACTTCAAGATCAGGTTACTGATTACAGTAAGCAAATTTGCTTTTGTGCACTATTATTTTTTTATTTATTTACTTTTTTTATTAACCTTTATATGATCAAAGTAATAAGTTAAATTACTTGATTAAAAACTTCATTCGCTTCGAATATATTCCAATTGGAAATAACAGTCATCTTTCCAGTACTCAAAGATAGGTGCCCATTTTAAAGACTTGAGAAACATGAAAGAGAAGAAACAAAACTGATTTGATGAAATGTAAGGTTGCCAATGAAAAATGGAAAAATAAAGGTGAGAAATAAAACTTGAAAAACCACAGAAGTCAAGAGAGAACAAGAAAAACCACCGTAGGCGAGAGGAAAATCAGGGTAAAAAAAATTTTCATGCGCTATGGAGAAAGAGAATCAAAATTCATATGAATGAAACGAGACTCCAGGCACCAAGATAAGCTTATGTGGCTAGGGTGAAATAATTTCGGCATTGTTGAAATTCAATTTCTGACCAAGATTCCAACAATGTGCAGCAATTGATGATTTCTCATATTCTTGATATCTATCATCTTCATTAAGTCTAAATTTTAAAAGGGTGTCTATTTTGTCCGATGGAGCCAAGGTTGCAGTTACAAAAAGTGTTATAAATGGCCTAGCAATCGTCAAAAGTAGTAGTATCTTTAAGAGACTTTAAATTTGTTAACAGGCATAAAAATGACTTTAAAATCAAAATAGGTGAGAATATTAGCAATTTTATAACAGACGGGAGAAGAGAAACAGTAAAATAACAAATTCTCGATAAGGATTAGAGTGTAGTGAGTTTAGCAAGAGCTGAATCAACTATTGAATAGTTAAATCCTCAATTAGCAGCAAGCAAAGTGCACAGAGAACAAAGGTATAAAATGCAGACATTTTTGACAGTTAGAGTGATTAAAATAAACATGAAGGGACAAAGAGAGCAAAATGTTTACTATAAGCAGTGGTGGAAAATTATCAGAGTATTTAATTGCAAAAACATCTAAAAAAGGTAAAGTAAAATTAATTTCTGCATCTAAAATAAATTTAATGTTTGGGTCATATGAGTTGACGAAAGAAAATAACTCTTGAAAATCAGTATCGCTGTGTTCTAAGCAAACATATTGTCAGCATCTTTTCCACTATGAAAATTTAAACAGTTTAAAAACTTTTCCTTCAAAATAATACATGAATGTGTCGCAAGGAATGGAAAAGAGGAGGTTGTTCATTAAATCCTCAATTGTTTTCTGGAAATTACCGTTGTATTGTGATTACCATTTTTAGTCACATATTCATGCATTACTTTGGAGAAAAAGTTTCTAGGGCATTGAAATTCTCATGTTGGAAAAGATGTTGACAATACATTCGTCTTAGTATACAGTGATACTGATACAGTGGCGAAACTATAACCTCTTAAAGATCCCATTAGTTTTGATAATTGCTGGGGCATTTACCACATTCCTTGTCAGTGCGACTTGGGAAAAATCAGACAAACAAGACATGCTTTAAAATTTCGACATTACCAAAATTATTTAGTCCCTATTCACATCAGCTCGTCTTGATTCTCTGGAATCTTGTTTTTTAAGTTTTGTTTCTCACCTTTATTTTTCCATTTCCTGTTGTCAACTTTACGTTTTGTATTTCAAATCAATTTTGTTTCTTCTCACTCATTTCTGGCAAGACTTAAAAATGGTTATCTATTTGTGTATGCTCTTGAAACATCAGCTCGTCTTGATTCCCTGGAATCTTGTTTTTTAAGTTTTGTTTCTCACCTTTATTTTTCCATTTCTTGTCGTCAACTTTACGTTTTGTATTTCAAATCAATTTTGTTTCTTCTCACTCATTTCTGGCAAGACTTAAAAGTGGTTATCTATTTGTGTATGCTCTTGAAACATCAGCTCGCCTTGATTCCCTGGAATCTTGTTTTTTAAGTTTTGTCTCTCACCTTTATTTTTCCATTTCTTGTTGTCAACTTTACATTTTGTATTTCAAATCAATTTTGTTTCTTCTCACTCATTTCCGGCAAGACTTAAAAATGGTTATCTATTTCTGTATGCTCTTGAAACATCAGCTTGTCTTGATTCCCTGGAATCTTGTTTTTTAAGTTTTGTTTCTCACCTTTATTTTTCCATTTCTTGTTGTCAACTTTACGTTTTGTATTTCAAATCAATTTTGTTTCTTCTCACTCATTTCTGGCAAGACATAAAAATGGTTATCTATTTGTGTATGCTCTTGAAACATGTTGACTGGTATTTCCAATTTGTATATTTTTGAAATAAATGAAGTTTTTAATAATATCTTAACTCTTCAGTTTCTAAATTGTATTGAAACTCTTTACATTATGCTAGAAAAAAAATCCTTCATCCACTTTTCCTAACCACTCATTTTTCATTAAAAAAAACCCACTTATTTTATCTTTTTATAGATTTTTGACAATTAAATGAGTTCAGAATGCATGCAGTATTTGTAAACACAAAAAGTATTGGTTTTTTGAAAATGAACCAGGTTGATCTAAAATCTGCAGTGACTCAAACTTTTAACCCTTTTCTGATTTACTTAAACATATTTTTATCATTAACTGACATAATTAAAGGGACTTCAATTAATGGGGAAAAAATAGTCAATTATCTCAAATGAAAATTATGATTTTACAAGTACAAAGCTTATTGTAATGTGAAAAACAAGGATTTTTGATGCCCAAATTTCTGGGATTTTCTTAATTGAACAATTTTTATGCAGTCCTGATTGTTTAGTTTTTACTGTAATCAGGAATTTTGGTAAAAGATCATTTTATTTTATTAAATATTTTTTTGTATAGTCTGTTAATTATTTAATTCTGCATTTTAGATCCTCATCTTTGATGCACAAATAATAATTTAAAAAAAAATTATGCTTTTGATCTTCCTTTTATGCAAGAAAAGAAATTTGGGTCATTAATGAAATCAAAATATTTTGGTTGTTTTAAAAAATGTAATGCTCCTTTTTTTCTCCCTTTTAGATGCAAAGATAAACTTTCTTACAACTAATTTGACTCACCAAGTGAAGCTTAATACAGAACTCGATGCACAATTAACATTTAGTGTTAATGAAGCTTCTGCATTAAGAAGAAGCATTGAGGAAAATAGGTAATCTTGATCTCTGTTAAAAAGATATTATTAATAATTATTTTTTAATGTCAAATAAAAATAATGCCTAGTGGCTGAGCAGTAGGGCGGTGCGTTCCTGTGCCACAGGTCTGGGGTTCTATCCTCATACCAGACAAAGTAAACTCAGTCTCTCATCCATTCAGTGGGTCAATAAAATGAATACCAAGCATGCCTGGGAACTAAACACAAGGGTTTCTGCATTTTGCTTTTCACCCAGCCATAATATCTGCTTCTCCACCCCAAGGTCAAGAAAACTGGAATGGACACAATAAGTCTTGACCCTTCACTGAGTTAAGTTTTTAAATAAAAATGAATCCAAACAAGCTGGGGCGTCCTCATGCATAAATAAAAGTTTTACTATTATATTTTTCTACAAATACATCTTTTAATGGTAAGAAAAATGCAATTTGAATTTAGATCCGGATGCTGTGTATTCTGGGCATTCCTTTTTACAACATCGAATTTAAAACTGTCTTTTCTATATTTTTTAGATTTTTTTTTTTTTTTTAGCCATTTTCACATGGTTTTTCAAATTCTGGTATTTTTGATACAGCAGTATTACAATAAATCATCACTTTTGGACATGCCCATTTCATGATAATTCCAACGTAAATCCATATCGTATTTCAGTATTTTTTGCTATTTTTTACACAGTTTTTCAGACTGATATTTTTGTGCAATGTTATTTGAACTTGAGTGATCACATTAATCTATCATCAATTGGCGTCATTTCCGATAATTTTTCTGCAGTTGTTACAGCTATTTATCATATTTTTGGCCAATTCCACATCGTTTTTTATTTTTTGTATTTTTCACATCTATACGGGGTTTTTATTTGACTCGGTGACTTCGCTTTCAGAATAATTTATGATGTATAAAATGTATATCTGTTTATGTTATTTCCTTAAATTGAATTAATTTTTACATCCTGATTAACTGCTCTGTTCTTTTAGAGTGACCACTTTAGAATCTACAGGAAGTACACAGGTAAAGTGTTATATTATTTGATTTACATTCAACTATTTTAGGGATAAATGTTAAATGTTGATTTTCTTAAAATGATTATTTTTGCAGAAACAATCCATTAATTCAAGCTCTTCTTCCTATGATATGGGCAGACTACGAAGTGCTGACACTCCCAAGTAAAAATTTTAAATAGAATAATTCTTATTTTTGAAAGGTTTTAATTTCTCTGATATAATTTTAATTAGTACATTCCTTTTTTTAAATTATTTTTTACAAAACACTTTTCTTTAAAAAATAAATATTTGCTAAGAATTTTCTTCAAATTTGAATAATTCTACTGAAACCTTTTTGAGTACTACTTAATATGTTGTTTTAGGTGCTGAAGTGATTTAAATTTGTGTCAATTGTAAAAATTAAAAAGAAAAATATTTAATTATAATTTTTTACTAAGTTAGTTAGTTTTATTTTTTTTACTCTGTATTTTTTAGATTATGATAATAAATTATATGTCCCGTTCATGTTGGGGGTACCTGGGATCAGAAAGAAATGTTTTTTTTTTTTAATGTAATTATCCTCTTTGTTAGGAACCTTGTTTCATCATTCAGTATGCAAATTTTTGCCACTTAAAAATGTTTCACCTTTAGAATAAATAAAAATCCGATGGTGCAATATTGAGTGAAGCAATACCTCAGACCGGAATTCATTAATTTTTTTTTAGATTTAGTCTTTCTAATCAATACAAGTTGAACATTTCAAAAATACAGAATTTTAGTTTGTAAAACCTTCTTTGGTATTTATGAATGCATAATACACTTGGATAAATGTCAGAAATATATTTAATGGCAAATGTTGCATTGCAGCCATTTTAAAATGCAAAAAGCATACAATACATTTCTGTTGTTCGGCTAGCCATTTTATCTTTAAATTAAGAATTTCTCACAAGATTTAAAATTACATGTTGTGATTTGTATTCACACAATTAAGAAAAAACAAATTTTTAATTAAAACATTGATAACACCGTAGAACAAATTTATTGTTGTATCTATACAGATACGTGATCTTACTTAATTCGATTGTGTGGATTTCAAATCTGAATTTAGTTTTGTTCCTAAGGCTACACATTTTTTTTATTACATTTTTATTCTATTTTTTATTGAAATGTACAAATTGAAAAACTTTATATATAACAAGGATTCCGTAAATATTGCGACAAACTTCTTCGAAAGTTAGGACACATCATCGGGTTTAAAATTGCTACTTACCTAAAAGTAATGTTGTACTTCCTTATTACCTGTTCAGAAGCACACAAAGAAACATTTCATAATAGGGATGCGCTCCTAGTGTTGTATGATGAAATTTCTGAGCACATGGTGCCTAGCGTTTTTAAAAAGTGTTTAAAGGTGCTTTTTTTCATTGGGTGTTTTTAAAAGTGCTTAATTTTTAATTTTCAAAAAGATTTTTCTCTTTGCCATGCCTATTTTCGCCATGTATTATGCAGAAGCGTGCTTTTCACACTATTCTATTCAACGTTTTCACAATGCATTCAATCCATTTCACCGTACCATCAATTAGTAGCGTATGAAAGCGCTAATCGTTTTACATGTTTGATGAAATACTCGCGTGTGCGTCCACTGAGCTGGGTTCGGAGAGATTCTTGCACTCTCATGTGCAACTCTGCTGCATTTTGCAAGATATTCTCAATTTCAGGCTTCATTTTCTACCCTTTGATATTGAACCAAAAAATCTCTTGATCATTTTATAATAGCTAAAATAATCAACAATAACAGAAAAAAAAATTTCAGAAACTAGTTATTTTATCATGATCATGTAAAGTATTTGAAAATAATTTTGCATTTTGTTAATGTATTCAAAATTCGTGCATCATATCAAAAATAGCGGTATTTAAAAAAACCACATGAATAACCACTTAAAAAATAAATGGCGTGGATTTACGAAAGAATCGGCTGGAATTTAGTGCTTCAGAAGGTGATAACTCAAATTTAAAATTCACGTGGTGTTACATCACTTATTTTAAAAATATCGCTTTTTAAAAAAAAAAAAAAAAAAAAAAAAACTATTGGAACTGAAATCTTATTAAAAATATCAGAATTTAAAATAAGCAAAACTCGAAGGGTTTGAAAAAATTGCATTTAATTAGGCGGAAATCATTGCGAATCAGGCATATCAAAAAATCACTATTCAGATTCCTGTATAATAACAACATATTCAAATTTTTGGAATCCAAACATTTCAGCTTTTCTATATTTGTTCAATCACTTGTTGGTAAAATGCCTAAATATAGAAGTATTTGTAATAAAATAAAGAGCAAAGTATTCTAAAAAAAGGTCATGAAAATTTGATTAATGGTCATGTATTTTTTGTATCGATTAAAAAGTGTTAACTGTTCTTCTCAAATTTTATATTCATAGATCTGCTCAAAACTTTTCCATGTTTTTACCAGAAATTGGAAGTTCACCACCTGTTAAATTGAACAATACAGAAGAGGTATTATTTTAGGTTTTTACAAATTCTTACTTTATCCTTTATTTTAATTAGAATATTTGTTATGTTACTTATTTTCTATAATAAAAGAAAATCTCCTCTTCAACTTCTATTCAATTTGTTCACTATTTTAACTATTTAACATGTTTTAACTGAGAAAATATTCAGAGATTAGCGAACTCGAAAGCGTCGATTTACTCCTTGAAATTTGGGTTTATTTACATTAGAGGTCTTTTTATACCTCTTTCAATCATGGGGTGGTTTGCCAGATGGTAATATTGTCATCACATTGTGTGCCAAATAAATAAATAATTAGCATATCTTATGTTTAAGTGATTTTTAGTAGTTTATTTTATCTGTAAATCACTGGTTTGGATATTATGTAAAATAGATAGTAGGTTAAATGCTGCTTTCAAATTGGCTTCTTCTGTCTATCCTTTAAAACTAGGACTGTGTCCATAGCCTTTCTGTTCAACAAACAAAACAGATGAGTTATCATTCTATAGTCATATTACTTCTTCGGAAATGAATTGTCTCTGATGAAAGGTTGCCTTTTTAGGAAATGGCTACAGCAAAATACTTAATCTTCCTGATGAGGGCTCTAATTTAACGTTGGTACGAGACCATTAAAATTTGACTAAGACTAGCGATCAATATAAAGGGATGTGCTGACTCTGTTTCATACTTTGATCTGAGTCTTTGTTGTAAAACGCATGTTTGATCTTAATAAAGCCATTGCACTGCATTCTAATTTTTCTTTGTAATTCACTTTAACTTAAAAAAAAGAAATAATAGATACTTGTAAAAGGACCTGTGAATATGTGTATGGACTAAGAGTAGCTTTTAGTTCCTGGTCCTTTGGACAAGTGGCTAAATTTTATTAAATTATATTCCTGCACATAACTTTGGAATCCTATGCTAGGTTTCATAATGATGCTTGTTCAGAAATATTAAACTCTGAGCATGAATCCAGAGCTGAATCTTGACATAGTCACAGACTATGTCATTTAATCCATATAGATATAAACTGTTAAATGGCTAGGAGAACTAATAACACCAGTTTTTGATGTGTTTAACTTATTACGAACTACCCAGCTACAAATTTTCTGTAAGGAATTCTGTCCTAAGCTTCAGCCCCTGTGTATTGCTATAATTTCAGGCAAACCTACATTAATAAATTTTGTTATTAATGTTTCATTTCCTGATTGTGAGACATTTAGTGTGTGTGTAATGTTCTATTTCCAATGGTGAACTAAGAAACTCACAAATGATATATGTCCTTGTTTTATTTTATTGCTACGAAGGAAATTCCAAAAGTAAAGCACTCACATCACAGCCAGTTGTTAGCCAAAGAGGACATGGAGATTAAGACTTCTTTTTTACAGCTTGATGGTATTAATTTGATCTGTATTGCACATGGGTCTCAGATTAGCTGGTACCATTTGATCTGAAACCCATTGAACTTCAAGCCACCATCATCGTTACATAATACCTTTGTAACATTGTGCAGGCAAATTAAAAAAGAAACAATTTTGTTGTTTAGAAGAGCTAAGCTTTCTGACCACTGTATCATACCTGCCAAGTCTCCTGATTTTTAACGAAGTCTGTTGTATTTTACGACTGTCTCCTGTTAACCTGTATATTCTCAAATTTCTCCGTATTTAAAATTTTAAAAAAAAATTGGCAATGAAATATCCACTAATGGTAAAATACTTCTCTTATTCCTCTACTGATGGTGCTATTGCCGCTACTGCTGTATGTTGAGTATTTATAGTTAGAGTAATTGTAAATAATCATTATAATAAACAATCATAATTATAAAAATCTTCTTTAGATTAAGATTTATATACATATTTTTTACATCGCTGAATGTAAGTGCTTACATTATATTATTTCCAATTTTGAATTTCACTTTTTGACTTACATGATTATGCATGATGTATCAAAACTTTACTTGTACCCCAAGAAATGTTGCTAGTAAAATCTCCGTTATTTTATTTCTCCATTATTGGCAGGTATGCTGTATTATGAAAAATTCATTTTCTGAATATTGTATTTCTGTATTACAGATGTATCCAGAAAGTGTGAAATCTCTTTTAGAGTTAACAAATGAGATTTTGAATACCCCGGAAGAGATAGAACTGCCAGAAAGTAGCTTGTCCTTCACAACGCAAATGTCTAGCATACCTCAACAGCTATCAAACATCTTAAAAGAGGAGGGCATAAGCTCCAGTTTTGAAGTTATGGTAAATATGCATATTCTTCCCCTTATCGGAATACTTTTACATTTACTTCAATTACATATCATTTCTGCATATGTTTGTTTATTCATAAAATTTTTTTTTAATACTTTTTGGGTTTATTTTGCCTTTAATTGTTCATAACTTTCAAAAAAAAAACTTATCAAGGATAAGTTATGTTTAATATTCTCTCACCTCAGATTTTTCAATGAAAAAGTTTCTACATTAGCTAAAATGCAAAACTCTTGATAGTTAAGTAATACAACTAAAATGCCAGCTATAAATGTCACTCTCTACTTTTGTGGACGATAACTCCACAATAAGTGTTTTATGCAAATAACGCTAGCAAAGGTAGGAAAAAAGTTAAAATATGAAGAAGAAGAGTTTTTTTCCTCATTTAGTATCTAAAAATTGAATTGCTCTTTTAAAAAAAAATTTAACATTAATTTTACAAAAAGCGTTATTGATTTTTGTTAAATTGGATTTAACAAATCAATTGTTTTGGCCCATATGTCTTCAATCACAATAAGCTTTACTGTTCCATGATGAACAAATATAACATAAATTTCAATAAAGAAAGCTTTAAAATCACAAACTGTAAAATTTTTACTCAAACTTCAATGGATTTTGGTGTCACAATGGTACACCTTCATCAGTTGGATAAAATTATGGATGATATTAATCAAACAGAGGCAATATCATACTAAAGAAAGAAATATATGGTTAAAAGATAAAATGACTAAAGATTAAAAAATGTATCATTTTCAAATATTTGGAGAGAGAAAAATGGCATTGCAGTCATTAACGATAGAGTTTTCATTTTTCCCAAAATTCCAAATCAACACATAAAATACATATATGGATTTTTTAATAAATATTTAAAAATTATTTAATTTTTTAATCTTCTGTCGTTTTATTTTCTTTTAACTGTATATCTCTTTAGAATAACTGTATATCTCTTTAGAATAATATAACTTCTGTCAGATTAAATAATCCCTGTTTCTACCATTCCTGTCTTTTATACTACAGGTGAAGGTGTTCTATTAAGACACCGAAACGTGTATAGGTTTTGATAAAATTTTAGCATTTTGGTTTTAAGTGTTATTTTTAATGGATTTAAATATAGTATACCAAATTATTTTGTATGTTCTCAGTTGCATTTACACAGGTTGCTATACTACTGCTATGAGAAATGTGCTACAATGCTGATTATTATCTTTTCTTTCCAGATCCATGGCTTGTACTGGGTGTACAGAAAAACTTTGAGTCACAATAAATCTTTACTGTACCAAAAGAAGTATTTACTAATGCTCCTTAGAGGTTATCAGTTGACTGAAAAAATGACTTTATCGTGTGTGAATCAAATGGGGAAGAACATTATGTTTGAGAACAATAGTCACAGTTCTTTTACATCAGTGGATTCTCCAGTCCGTGGACGTGAACTCTTCCGTTCTGTTGCATACGTCGTAGTGGCCATTCAAAGAATGAAATATTATGTGCGAAGGTGGAAACTTTTTGCTAAAGTTCCTACTTCAGACATTGTGAAAGCAGAAGTCAATTCTGTATTTCAAAATTGTAGAAGTTCATCACCAAGTAAGTTTAAAGACAATATTTAGAGTTTTTTTTTAAAGTGTTTAACATTAAAGGTCTAATTTGTTTGAATTAATAGTTGGTGAATTGTAAAAGTTTTAGAATTATTTTAGCTCTCTTGGAAAAATAGATGTTCAGTTTTTCCACCCATTGCATAACTTCATTTTAAAGTTTATGTAGGATCTTTCTTCTGTATTTTTAAGAAGTGTATTTTCTCGTGAATTTTTGAAACTTTCTGATTTTTGTTTTTTACGAAGGGTTTTCTTTCCTTTTTTAAGTTACGACTTTTTTTTTTATTGTTCTTGCAGAAATAAAAATTTAAGTTATTGAGAAAAGTGCATAGAAATCATTTGTAATTAAAAAAAAATTTAATGTTAAATGTAGAAGAAATTAAAACAGGTTTTTTTTTTTTTTTTTTTTTTNTTTTTTTTTTTTTTTTTTTTTTTTTTTTTTTTGTAAGGTATTGCAAGATTAGCAAATCAAGTGAATGAAGTTAGACTTTTATTTATTTTTTTTTCAATTATCAGGATGTGTAGCGTTTTTAAAAAGTGCTTAAGGTGCTTATTTTTGATTTGCGTTTTTTAAAAGCCCTTAAAGGAGCCTTTTTTATTCGAGGTTTGTAAAGAGTGCTTAATTTTCTATCTTTTTAAAAAAAAGATTTTTTCTTTGCGGTATCGATTGTTGTTTTAAACTACAAAAAACTGCGTGATTTTCTCAATTTTCTCCAATATTTATCACTTATTTTATCATGATTACATAAAGTTTTTGAAAATGTTTATAAATTTTATTGATTTAATGTTTATAAATTAAGAACTTTAAACGATAGGGGGAAGAAATAATTTTTATTACTGCACAAATCCTAATTATGAATTTTTGTTTTTTTGAAAACGGATTAAAAATATTTTTTGAGTGCTAAAAATGTGCTTATTTTTTATTGAAAAATATGACACACAGTTAATACACAGTATAACCCAAAAGTGATTAATGGAAATATATGTATCAACTGTAAATTAGATTTCATTTCCTTTCAGAGAATAGTGATCTGTTTCATTTAATAAAATTGTGATAATTTGTATCAAATATAATCAATGAAAACATCAACTTGACCAATGGGAAATTAGACTTATCATTCGTTGTGGTTTTTGACTTTCAAATAAGAACAATTGTCATTTTGAAATTTAGATCTTAAATTCATATCATTACAAAAATCTGTCCTTTCTTTTAATATTCAAAAGAGTCTTTCAAATAAGGAGAGGGTATACATTATGTCATATATGAATAAAACTAAACATTTTTAATAAAGCAGAAATAATACCTCATTGGCAGACATACTTTAGTTTTGATTTGATTCTAATAATCAAAAACCTTTTTTCATGTCTAAACATGGAATGAGTGAAGAAAATATGTTAATGCAGGGAGAAAAAAAATCAGAAACAAGTTCTGACAAAGGAAAAAGAGGTTTATACAAAAGAAGATTGGATACAGGCCTGCAATATAACACTGGAGAAGAAGAAAAAATTTCTTCTGTTACATAAGATTTTTGATTGATTTTAAATATTTTATTATCTCCAATTTCAAATCTGTAGCTAGTTTCTTATTCCAAACTACAGTTTCCTTGAAAATGACATTTTTAGTCAATTTTTGTCATAATGCGGGTCTATTTTGTCATAACAGAGGACCACATAAATGTTACAACAAATTTCTATGTTGTTAAGTCACATCATCGGAATTAAAATTGCATACGAACTCCTGCTGGAAAATGTTACACACTGCTATAGGCGCACCACTGTTATCAACCATTTCTTCGTGTCCTTTCGAACAAGTCGTAATAGGAAAGTACCCCTAGCCGTATCCAATGACATTCCCGGGCATGAGCTCCAATTCAGTTTTAATCCTGATGATGTGCTCTCACTAAGGGTGATTGTATTTCGGATTATTAATATCATTCTTCAGCGTCTAAAAACTTGAAGCAGGGCATGTGATTTTTCCAGAATCCAGAGTATTGCTTTGTATCTCAAGACCATAGGTGACATTATCAAACTTGTGTGAAACATTATCAAATAATATCAAACATTGATTTTTGTATTTATATGTGATTTAAAATCTATGCATTAGGACTTGTATTCACACAATCTACAAGTTATGTATTGTGAATTGTATTTGGGATTTAAAAATTTAATTTTGCCGTTTGTATCTTTGCATTTTGAAGTCCAATAACTCTTTTCATATTCACGCTATTTTAAAATCCAGTATCTCAATTCTTGTAAGAAGTAAGTTTTTTCTTGAATTAATTATTATAAAGATTTGGTATTCTTCATTAGTAGATAATTTTATTATAAATGTTACTTCATAAAATTATGTTAAATATGAAACATGCATGGTATATAAATTGTTATCTTGATATCGATTTTTTTTGCACATAAAATTTTCAGGTTTTTTCAATTTGTGTCACAATTACCCCTTCCTAACTGCCCTAGAAGTTGTTGCAACATTTACATGATCCTGTTTTATATATAACGTTATTAGACATTTTTTTTTTAAAAAAATTATCTAAAAATGTCATTTCGAAGAAAAAAAATCTATAGCTTCAGGCGCATAACTACTTTCAGATTTAATATTCACACACTCCAATTAGGCAAGATCAAGTATTTGTGTAAGGGCAACAAACACCTTGTTTCCTCGTTTAATCACACAATAGAAGGAAGATAAGAAAGTGTCATTGCATTAACGATCACACAGTGCTCAAAATTTTAAAAAAAAAAAAAGCAGACCACTCTGAATAAGTTTTGATCTAGTGATCCGATCTTCACAATCTAGGAGTCAATCTTAATTATTCAAATGGGTGACTCAAGTGTGCTAATTAATTAATGCAGATGATATTTTAAGTTACAAAATCGGTCACAAATATGTACTTTCTCTGGAATAAATATACCTCTTTTTTTGGGGGGTGGGGGACAGTTTCTGATTTCTGACACCCAAAATATAGGAGATAGCTATAATCTGGGAAATACAGTCCCAATAGTTTGGACCCCATAATGTTTTTTTGTGTGTTTTTACTTAAAATTATAAAATTCATTCATCAAAAGATAATTTAATGCAAGAAATAACTTTTAGTCAATGTTTATCTTATTTTACAATAGTCGAAAAATTTTGAGTTGTTAGATATAAAAATTTTTACATCATTTTAAAGTTACTTAAAATAAATCAAAAATTTGAGCAAAATCGGTCTAATATGATTAAATGATTTAAAATATGATTTTCCTTCTTAACTCGATTTCTTCGGAACTATTTGACCGCTTAAATTTTGTATTTTGCATTAAAAGTTACGTTCTTTAAAATGATTTAAAAAATTTATACCTTGCAATTCAAAATTTTTTAACTATTAAATAAAGTAATATAAAATAGTAAATATTTACAAAAAGTTACTTTTTGCATGGAATTATCTTTAAATAAACAAATTTTATAATTGTGTTCATAATTTTTTCAAGTTGCTTAAAAAGTTCTTGAGATATGGCATAATACGCAAAAAGAAAAAATTAATATTAGGGGGTCTTATCTTTGAACAGCTCTCCTGAACAAACTATTCTGACCTTATTTCCCAGATTGCAACTATCCCTTATATTTCAGGGGTCAGAAATCCCCAAGTCCGTTGGAAAAAAAAAGTATGTTTATTCAGAAAAAGTATGTTTTTATGTCTGATATTGTAACTTAAAATATCAAAGCTATTTAGGGAAGCTGGTATTTTGATCACTGTACATTTTAATTTCTACATATTGCAAACCAAAGGTTCTCCCTCTACCTTTTCTGCATTTTCATGTTTTATTCTCCCTTTCAGTGTTTCAGTACTATACTGTACTAAGGTTCTGAATTATAGATCTGAAACTATAGTATGTCTTTTTATGGCATAATTTGTGTTTATTTCATGTTGCTTAGCTTTATCAAAGTTTATGGAGGAATTTTACTCATCAATCTCTGTGCTAAAACTTACTTTCATCATGTTTGAATTTCTATTCATACTATCAGATAATATGGCAACTAATTTAACGAAACATACTAATTCAAATCTGCTTAAAAATTTTAATTGCTTAAGTGATTTGTCTCTGGTATTAAATTTTAATATTCAATTTTTTCTTTCTCCGTAAAATATATTGCCATCATTAAGTTTGAGATTGAGTTTGAATTTTACATTTTTATATGCACCTAGCTTTTGAAACTGATTTATTCATCTTATTGCTCAAAATATAAAAAATTCATTTGTTGGTGTATACTTTTTAGATTTAAAAAAAAAGGATTTTAGGATGTACGCAACAATTTAAAATGACTTTTTTTATAATGTACGTTGTAATGTTTTATAATGTATAATTTCATTATTAGATAGTTTCAACATGTCATATCTATCATTATCATCAAGATCTGCATCTGTTTGTGAAAGTGAAAAAGTACATGCCGGTATTAACAGTAGTGCTTCTTCAATAAGTTCAAGGTATGCACAAATATATTTATCAGAGATCCTATGAAGTCTGAATTTGTTTTATTTTGTGACTTTTTCAAAACTGTTATGAAAGATTTTTAAATATACTTACAAGCAGAAAATTTATATCTTGGTAACTAAGTTCAATAGAATACATTACAAAGGATAAAATATTCAAAATTTATTAGTTACTCAATCAATAACTAAATTACATTCATACTAAATTCGCTAAGTTAATGTGGATGAAGTGAAATTGTTTTTGAAGCTGGATTTTGCCAGTGTCTTCTGTCAGAAATTATCTTGTTTTTGCATGTTTTGGATAGTTCTTGAATATCGGGAAAGTTCCAGCAAAAAATCCTTATGTAACTTTAAAATAATAATCCGCTTTTACGCACAGAAAATATTCTCCGCATTTTTACCTCCCGCCAAGATAGCTCGTATTTTCGTAATTCAGACGTCGCTGCTTTAAACAAGCCTTTTGGAAGTCCCAAGTCCGGACCAGCTAAAATTTCAATTCTTATTCACGCGATTTGAATATCAAACATATATTTTCGTATTTACATGGTTTGAAAGGTGTACATTGCAATTCTTATTAATAAGATTTAAAAATGGATATCACGATTTGTATTTGCGCGCTTTTAAAAACCTATGTAGAGATTCGTATTCACACGAGTTTAAAGTCCAATGTCGTGATTTGTTCATGCGGTTATGATATCAAACAGCGATTTTCATATTTATATGTGATTTAAAAATTACACATTGTTATTTGTATTTAACGCGATCTAAAATTTATGAATCGTGATTTGTATTTACGCAATTTAAAAATTCTCTTACGCAGTTTGTATTTTCTCATTTTTAAAATTCAAGATCGCTATTTGTGTTCACACGATTTTAAAATCAATTATCGCGATTCTTGTAAGAAGTAAGTTTTTTTCTTGAATTAGTTGCTATAAAGGTGACTGTTTTTCTGTCAACAATTATTAGTATGTATAGGTATTACAACATCAGCGAAACTGGAAGAGAATATATTCAAAACTTACATTCTGTACTAGAAAATGTGACACACGCAGGTAAAGAAAGAAAAAATGGGATTTGTCAAAAGATGTTTGAAAATGGGTTAATGCATCACCAATCTGTTTCCCCTCATTCACAAGCTGCAATACGAGCAATATGACCTTGTTAAGGGATTTTTTTGCTTGTTTTGTGAAACTTGAATCATTTGCAGCAAATTAAGCAGAAAGAAAAGATATAGAAAACAAAAGCAATCTCTTAAAAAGTTATTTAATTTCTTTCTTTTTTTTTTTGGAAGAAGTACCTTTTTTTTTTTTAACTCAGCACCAAAATCCAAAATTTTAAAAATAATGCTGATGTTTCACGGGGCTTTAGCTAGATTAGATTATAATATGAACATAGTGATTCCAATTGTAAAAAAAAATTTTATTTTCTAAATAATTTAAAAAGTCATGTTACTGATATATTTGCTATAAATCACGTAGCAGTATTTATTAAAAGCAAGGGAATGTTAATGTATGTTCTCGGTAATTTCAGTTTGCTAAACCAGGCAGTTTCTCAAATAATAATTGTCTTCTTTATGTGAACTGAAGAAAAATATTATTTCTAGCTTTATATTTTCAATTGGTAACTTTACTTTTTACTAAATGTTAAGTGTTGATGTTAAGTGTTCATTCATATATTAATAAATTAGTACCGTCATGTGGGGCTACTTTGTGCAGGATTTCGCAGTTTTTGAACTTTGACATGTAAAAAAACTATGTTAATTCAAACTTTAGTAAAATTTATCAATATTATATTCCTAACTGGACTAAGACGAGTGAATTTGATCAATATTGGCATTATTTGTATGTAATATTTACAAATAATAAGTCAAAACATGCCTTGCACAGAGTAAGTGGGGCTGCTAAAAAATTCCTATCGCTGCACAAAGTAGCCCCCAAGTGGGGCTACTTTGTGCAGTGATAGGAATTCAGTTTAATAATCATGTTTTTAGTAAAATATTGATATAAAATTGTTAAAAAAGTTAATTGTTGACATTTTTAAAGACAAAAACATCAAGATATGTAAAGATATTAGTTTGAAAATAATTTTCAGCGTTAAAAAACCATTTTTTTTGAAGAATTTTTTCTTAAAAAGAATGTTTATTTCAAAACATTTGAGTTTAAACAAAAGGAAACCATATACTTTTTTTAACATTGAAATGGATGATATTTCAAAAATAATAATTATTACATATTCATTAACATTTATAATATTGATAAATTTGAACATAACATGCTTGAATGAACATGACAGAACTTGCTCTTCAGTTTCTGTCAAAATCACCTGATGTCCTATAAAATATATTTTTATGTGTTAAATCGTTTGATTAATTCATTAGAAAAATCTTTGTAGAAGAAAAATAATAGTTTACCAGCACGTTTCACGTGTTTCTTGTGAATTTTATTAGAGATAGTATTTCTGTGGATTTTGTACTTCCGAGAAGCTTCTGCAATCGACATACCGCCAGCAACTGCTTGCAAACATTGTTGCAGCTTTTCTAAAGTTTAATCACGTTAATTTCTCGTTCCAGGTATTTTTTTTATAACGTCTGACAATTTTTCTGTCGAAAAAAAAAATAACGAAACTTTGCACAAAGTAGCCTCACAGTACATTTTTTTTTTCATTTTCCGTTTATTTGTTATTAATTTTCAAATTTTTTTAACCCTAACATGATATGATTGTTTATTAATACATAAATAAAAAAATTTGCACTTACGACAATTGTTTTATCAGCGTCTTTGCATTTCGCAGCTAAAGTTTCCACGCGCACTTTTCGACGTCCGACGCTCTCGGAAAGTTGTTGACATTGGATAAACAAAACACACTCTGAGATTGTTTTAAAATTCGAAAAAAAAATTTTAGTAATAGAGGAGACTTCTATCTTCAAATTCCACACATCTTTAGCATGAAAAAAACATAATACTGAATAGCAGCACTTGAAAAGTGCCAAATTCGAATTTGCTCAAAGTAGCCCCACATGACGGTACACAATTTTATGTCAACACTATTTATTATCTTAAAATGTCTGGAATTTTTTTTTAAACTATTACACACATGTAAAATTTATTTGTGTGGAAATTCAGCTTTTTTGCCTTTTGACCATTCTCATCCCTGATTTTAACGTAAAGTTGACTTTTTTTTGCTGTGAAATGCTTGCAGAACGTTTGTATTTGAATCCTGTTCCAAAACATTTGAAAATATTCTGCTTATGGGTGAGCCATTAAAAATATCCTGTTAGCTAAAAAAATTCTTACCAATAAGTGGGGAAATCAATTCTTGTATGATTTTAAAACATGAAGAAAAAAACTCAAACCATTACGATGACAAATTAGAAACTTATAGGCTGATAGAGGCAAGGTAGCATGGAATGGAATTCTGAGGAAGGCTAGGTCCCCATCAAGGCTGTTGCTTGCGCCAGTGGAGATAATTTTATTGGCTACTAAAGTCCTTAAGATTTCGTGTATCTAAAATACTTCAGATATTATAAAATAGGATATTCAGAATTGCCAATATATTTATTTCTAGGGAATACAGTACAATTTAACACCAAGAGCTTTTAAACAATATAAAATCTTAAATTTAAATTATGAATGAATTTCTGCTTCAATGTAAGACTGAAGAGATACCTGAAAAGGCTGTGTCATTGAAAAAATAACCCGAAGTTTATTGAAAAATGATCAAAAGAAGGAAAATAAATCCAGCTTCCAACCATCTAGATTCAAATATTGTAGTCATCGTGAATTAGATTTTCCTATATGAACACTAATATGTAATCAATATATATTATACAATATATTGGAAATCAAAATATAATAATTATTATATTATGGTGGCAAAGTGTGAAGAACACTTTGAATAAATGCTAAAGGTTTTTTTTTTTTTTCATCTTTCAAAAGTCTATTTTTCGCAAAAAGTGTTTACTTTTCTCTTTTCCAAAATGCGATTTCGTTTGTCATCAAGAGTTATGCGAAAAGCATGATTTTTAACGTTATTACGATTCATTTAGCATATACGGAAGCACCGTTCACTTTACATATTGGATAAATTAACGTGCAGATCCTCGTGTACATACACTGAGATGGATTCTTGCACTAGTATGGACCATATAGTTTCTGCTTGACCGTGCAATTATTTTTTTATGACAATGATGTTCAGCATCACTAATCATTATATTTTTATTGTAAGATTATTGGGAAAAAAATATTTATATCATTTCGTTAAAGAAATATTGAACCAATTTATAAGTTTTGATAAAAAGTAAATAAGAGACCATTCACTAATTTAGAATTGTGATTTGAATTTACTTAGGTTATCGTAATTTGCTTAATTCTCTACACATCTATATCAGTATACATTTCTTGTTTTGTAAATATCAAGATATTCATCTCCTAACTTTTTTTTTTTTTTACAAATTTAAATTAACTAGTTGTATTTTTGAATTATAAGTTATTACTTTTAAACAATAGAATAACAAATCTTTTCTGAATATTCTTCGAAAATTAATTTTTTGCATTCTCTTGATTTTTTTCTATTTACATATGAGAAACTTTCAACGAAAGGAAGAAAAAAATTTCGCAAGTATGCATGTCCTAATTTTTTTTTTCTTTTTTAAAAAACTTGAATATTTTTGATAAAATATTTATAAGTGTTTAATAGCTTTTTTTTTTTTTTTGAAAATTTGATTACATGCCTAATGGTGATTGTTGTCGACATATCGATGGTAATCAGAATGTGTAAAATACCAAAACCTTTGTAAATGCCCTACTTTAGTATTTTATTCTACTTTTGATTATGATTCACTTTTTTGAGGTACTATTTTGAAGATGTGATTATTTGAATAGTTACCGTTTATAGTCTGTTTAGTGTGCATGAAATTTGCATAGAGTCACATAACCCTAAGATATACACTACTGATATCTGTTGTCCAATTATTATATTATATTATGTTTTAAGAAATCTTTTTTTTTTTTCTTGCTGGTAATTATGTACTATTAACATTTTTCAGATCTGGTACAAAATCTAAAAGAAAGTCCAAAGCGGATAAAGGAAAACTTCTTGAATATGTGCAAAGATTAGACACCCTTCAGAAGCAACTGGGACTTGACAGCCTCAGATGATAAATCTGTAAACATCCCCTTGTGCCTGCCACAAACGAAGCGTTCAATTTTACTCATGCCAAAGATGTAAAATATATCATTCACTTTTTTGTAAAAACTCTAAAATTTTTTGCGAGTGAAAGATATTTATTTTATTTTTATGTACAAATTTGTAAATTTTATATTTATGAAACAAATTGACTATATCATATGTTTTTCTATTGTGCCTTGACTGACTGCTGATGATATGCTGATAGCAATTAAAGTGCATTGAGAGTCATTTTAAAGTTTTATCGAAAATTAAGTCACAATCTATATCATTGTGCATGTTTTACATTTTAATTTGCTGTGACTTTATATTTAATGTGTGATTATTTTTTAATCAGATTTGTTGTGGTCTATGCCTGCCTTTGAATAAAATGAATATATTTGTTTTGTTTAAATGTGTTCTTTATTTATTTTGTATTTATCAAATTGATATAATAAAATATATATCAGATGTAAGAAAAATTACTGAAATCTATATCTTAAGAATCTTACTCAGTCTTAAGAACAGGAATGCTTGGAACAACATTGTTCAGCAAACCAAGGCCCGGAGGTTTGCCATTAAACAAATCACCAAAAAAAGTAATCACATTAGGGCTCATAAATCAATATGTAAAAGAGAATGCTGTGACTAAAATTAGATAAACCAATTTAATTACCCAATAAAACTTAGAGGTATTTTTATTAATTGACTTTTATCTTCTCTTTGTTTTTTTGTTTTTGCTATCCAATAAAACACGTTTTATGTTTTAAAAAAGGTGGATTTTTTAGTCGTATGTAATATGATTTTTAAAAATAGCGAAAGAACTTTTCTTTGGTTACGAATGTAATAACTTGGCTGGCAGTTGTCCATGCATTACTTCAAAAAAAAATAAGGGGGTAAAATTTAAAAAATTATATAATAGGAGGATAAAATTGTTGAAGGGAGATTTTGTAAATATTTTGAGCAAATTAGAAGAGTTTATCCATGCTAGGGCTATTGTTGTATCTGAATATAATATAACTTAGTCTATTTCGAGTCTTATTGCAGTCATGACCTGTGTAAGTTGTGAGAGAAGTAGATAGGAGGAAAGCTCGAACCTAGGGATTGTGATGGATTTGGTTGGTGCAACCCGCGATTTACTACAAAGAAGTTGGGTAGTTACATCAGTGGAATTAGATACATTTTGTACGTAAATGACTACTCCCAGAGCCGGATTATACCTTTCGTAGGCACAGAGCCGGATTATACCTTTCGTAGGCCCCAGGCATAGCCGCTTTTGGGCCCTCCCCTCTTTTCAAAATATATGCTAACATTTTCTTGCATATTTTTTTTTTACATTTCTATTAATATGGATTTTAATTTACGAATTTGTTTATTGAACTTTATCTGCAATACCGACATACTGCCGATATTGCAGTTGATATCGATAATACCATTATGATTAGTTCGATCGATAACTNTTTCATTATAATGATATAGAACAACAAACCAGCAAAGAAAACAGTGAAATTGATAGTGAGATTAATTACAAGAAATATTTATACAGTAGAGAACCAATTATCTGGGATGCTCGGGACCATCGCTATCCCGGATGTCTGAATTTCCCAGTTTTCTGGATCGACCAAAAAGTGTCATTAATCGATGTTTTATCGAACCCGAATTACAAGGAAATTACACAAAAATTTGTCAGAATCTGAGATTAAACTAAAAACGCAAAATTTGGTGAAAATTTACTCATCCGTTTTAGAGAAAAACTTTGTAAATGAATCGTTACTATTTTCAAATATGAACTAATGAAATAATTTATATGAACATAAATCTGCACAAGAAATGTTGAAGGCTCAAATTAAAGATAAACTTGTGAATACTTTTCCTAACGTTCACATTGCGTTAAGAATATATTTGTCGATTCTTGGTTGTTGCTTGTACTTTACGTCGCACTAGAGCTGCACAATGGGCTATTGGCGACGGTCTGGGAAACATCCCGGAGGATGATCCGAAGACATGCCATCACAATTTTGATCCTCTGCGGAAGGGATGGCACCCCCGCTTCGGTAGCCCGACGACCTGCGCG